CTAGTTTACTAACTACAGTCTTACCCCTGAACACTCACACTGTTTTCTATGGTTAACTGCACCAAATGAAGCTATGATTAACATTCCTGTCAATCTTTACTTCTCTCCGCATATTCTCAGACGATTCCTAGAAGTGAAAGTGGAGTAAAAAATTGGTCTAACTCACACATCTACCACAGTGTACAGAATATAACTTTTTAAATCTTTGTCGTTAGAAAACCAATAAATGACCTACCCTTCTTAGAAATTAATTTCTATTTCTGGATTTTGAAGGATTCTAAGGGCTTCTTAAATGTCTATACTGCCCATTATCCTCCCTCGGGAATTTACTCATGTCTTCGCCTATTCCACATGTGTCAAACACAAGGCCCGCGGGCCAAATCCGTCCCGCCAGGCCTTGCAATGTGGCCCGCACCGCGCTGTCATCACTGCACTCCGCTGCGTTTCCATCACAATGACAGTTTATGACTGTTCAGTAAACCATTCGGCCCGCGATTTAGGCTGGATTTTAGATTTTGACCCCTTCTCTGATTGAGTTCGACACCCCTAGATTCTATCAGTCATCAGTTGGGCTTGTACCATATTGTTTTAGCCTTTGCAGCTTTTTAAAATATTTTAAAACACAGTAAAGATCTCCTTTTACCGCTTTTCATACTAAAATTTTTCTCAGCCATTTAGCCATTTCTTTATTCTTCCAGCAGGTCAGAGGGTCGTGTCCAGCCCTGCCCAGAAGTCCCAATGGGTTGCGCATTCAGATTACAGCGGTGCCTCGCATAAAGAACGCCTCGCACAGAGAACGCTGCACACAACGAACTTCATTTCATGATTCATACAACGAACTTCGTTTCACACAACGAAGTCGCCCGAGCTTCCACGACCGCTTTGCCCGAGCTTCCACGACTGCTTCGCCCGAGCTTCCACGATCGCTGCTGATGTATTGCATCCTTCCGCACAGGCACTGCAGGCAGTCGTTAGTCACTGCGCTTAACTTAAGCACGTATCGCGGCAATCGTTCTTCATTACGAATTAAATCACGCACGTATCACGGCAGTCGTCCTTTTAAGTTAAACTCAATATTTTTTTTATATCATGATGTATCTAAATAAAAATAATAACAAAAAATTTATCTTTTTTTATGTCATCTTAGCATATTTTATGCTACAGAACGAATTATTTTTTTTAACATGTATTGTTATGGGAAAACGCGTTTCACATAACGAACTTTTCGCATAACAAACTTGCTCCTGGAACGAATTAAGTTCGTTGTGTGAGGCACCACTGTATGTTCAAGTTTGCTACAATGGGAAGAACTGACATCTTTAAAAATTTAGTCTTCCAGAATAGGAATAAATTGTTGTCCTTTAAAATGTCATCATCCTCACATGCTTTCAACCCTTTGGTGGTTTCAATAGGACTAACTTTTATGTTGGCATGACGGTGAGTGTATCCAGAATTTTCCCTCTGCACAGCTTCTGCTTCTAGTGATAGGACAGGGAGCTTTTCAAATGTACTTTATCTGTATAAAAGACCAATATGCAAAGCGTCCCCTCGGGAGCTGGACCAGGAGACCGGAGTTCGACTGCTCACAATGACGTGCGCTGACCACCAGGGGGTGGCACAGAGCAAAGGAAGGCTCCGATGAGCCCTGATCGCTGGCTGGGCCTAAGGACCCTACCATGCACGAATTTCATGCACCGGGCCTCTATTACAAATATAATAATGAATTCAAAACTAAGTCTAAAAGTGGTGAGCCTGTTTACTTGGGATTTTAACATACAAAGTCTTGTAAAATAATAACTGCATCTTAAATATCTATTAAAGCTCACATGGTTTCTGCTTCATGTCTTTTTTTTAAATATATTTTTATTGATTTCAGAGAGGAAGGGAGAGGGAGAGATAGAAACATCAATGATGCTGAAACCGGTTTGGTTCAGTGGATAGAGCATCGGCTTGCGGACTGAAAGGTCGCAAGTTCGATTCTGGTTAAGGGCATGTGCCTTGGTTGTGGGCACATCCCCAGTGGGGGTGTGTGCAGGAGACAGCTGGTCGATGTTTCTCTCTCATCGATGTTTCTAACTTTCTATCCCTCTCTCTTCCTCTCTGTAAAAAATCAATTTTATATATATATATATAAAAAGAAACATCAATGATGAGAGAAAATCACTGATCAGCTGCCTCCTGCACACCCCCTACTAGGGATCAAGCCTGCAGCCCAGGTACATGCCCTGAGCTGGAATGAAACTGTGACCTCCTGGTTCTCGAATCGATGCTCAACCCCTAAGCTTCATGTCTTAATGCACTGGCAAATCCTGAAGACACTTCACATAAGGCTTCTTTAACTGGCCCTGGTGTTAATGGGAACATATAGGTAATAATGTTAATGTTCATTTCTAGTTTGGTATAGCTATTACTATGATAAAAAGTTATCCTTCTATCTCTAGTTTCCTATGTGTTTCTTTAAATAAAAAATATGCAATCAATTTTCTCAAACGTTTTTTGGGCATTTCATAGCCTCCCTGTTTGTACTGACTAAATGATCACAGACATCAGAAAGTAAACACAGCTGGGTGTGCAGGAGAACTCCGGCGAGGGCCTCCAGTCCAGCTGGCACACACACCACCCGCCATCAGCCAGTGCCCACCTCTACGTAAATCAACTGCCTGCAGTCCCCTCCCTGGACCGCATCTGGGCCGTGCTCATCAGTGTGGCCACGCACGCACGCGCACAGCAGGCGGCAAGCACAGCGTCCTCTGAGTGAGCCGTGGTGAGCCGCGGAGCGGGAGGGGCGAGAGATGCTCAGTCACTGGAGCCGGTGATGAATGCTGGACAGCCGATGTGACTAATGGAGTCCGCCCCACAGAGGGAAGTGATACAAAATACTGCACACCTACAATAAATATTTTATTTCACCTAAAACAGAAATAAACCATCCTTCATCAGTCCACTGGTTTGTTTGTTTAATTTCTTCATAAATCACACACGTTATAATGTATCATCTGTTTCCTGGCTTGGTTCTCTTAAAGTGACATGTTTACATATACCTGTGAACCTGAATACAGGACTCGAATCATTTCTCATTATCGCTGATGGAATCAACGGCAGCTCTTTTTTTTTTTTTTAATATATTTTTTATTGATTTTGTACAGAGAGGAAGGGAGATAGAGAGTTAGAAACATCGATGAGAGTGAGTCATCCATCAGCTGCCTCTTGCACACTCCCTACTGGGGATGTGCCGGCAACCAAGGTACATTGCCTTGACCGGAATCGAACCTGGGACCGTTCAGTCCCTAAGCCGAGGCTTTATCCACTGAGCCAAACCGGTTTCGGCCTCAACAGCAGCTCTTAATGGGTTTTCCTCGTCCTGTTTTCAAGGCATTGGGCCTGGGCGTTCCCTTCCTTCTCGTACGGAAGCCACTGCCCTGCGGGCGGGGTGAGGGCGGGCACGGGTCAGCCCACGCAGGCGTGGGAGACACGCTGCTAGCAGCACACAGCCCAGGCAGAGGCCGACACGTGTGAGCGGGGCAGCCGTGGGAATGAAGCTTCCGGTTTCTTTGGCCGTCATTAACAGAATAAGAAAGTACACATACAGATCTGGACGTGACCAATGTCTATGATGTTATAGTAAGAGAAAAGAACGAGTTTCAGAAAGTGTTCATGCAAACGCTCTCTCGAGCTGGTGTGCGTGTGGCACAAAGAGCGGGGAGGACGGTCAGCCGGGGCCACCGCGCCCGCCGTGGGCGATCCGGGAGGAAGGACTGACATTACACACTGCTTGGGACGGAAGTTTCACAAAATCCCTACTTTCACTTTTGCAACCTAAGTGTGCTGTCTTAGGGAAAGGGGGACAGGAAACCACGCCTGGGGGACGGACCGAGCTTGGCTGGACAGCAGGGCGGCTGGCGTGCTGCAGCTCAGGCATCTGCAGGTGCCAGGCGCAGAGCCACCGCTGCTGGCGAGACGGCCCGCTCCCCCTGAAGACACTTCGTGGGAGCAAGCACACCCATAATGCCCCTGAGGCTCCCTCCACCAAAGAGGCCGACAGCAGTGTCCTGGCCCGTCCGACGCGCCAGCACACTGGCCATCTGAGACCAGAGGCCCCGGGGGCGCGGGCAGAGGGGGCAGCTTCCGAGGACTGGGGACACGTTTCTTACTTTAAGATCTAAACGTGGTAATTCTCTCCGATTAGATGCTACACCGGGCTGCGGAAAAGACCCAGCGCCCCGCGATGGCGGTCCAGGTGGTCTGAGGTCACAGCGGAAGGGCCCAGGGCGCACCTGTGCTCGGCGCCCAGGCGCAGAGCCCTGTGGGCCTGGCTGGCGAGGGGCCCGAGGGGCCGGCCGCCTGCAGAGGAGGAGCGGTGTGCGCTCAGCCCTCCTCAGGCCCGGGGCAGCAGCCCGTCCCGGGACAGGGCCCTTCACACGCAGCCCTCCCCCGGCCCCGTGTCCCCGCTGAGCCACCCACCACAGGGAGCTGCAGGCAGTCCCACCGCGTGGCCAGGAGGGGCCGCCTCGGGCCGGGCCGCACCAGGCTCTCCCTGGGAGCCCCCAGCATCTCTGCACTGGAACAGGCAGGCGGGCTCTCCCCAAACCCGGCAGCAGCCCGAGGGAGCCGGGCGCGGCCCCTCACTGAGCCATGTCACAGCAGGAGCCCCGCCCCCCCGCCCCCGCACAGGCGGCCCTCCCTCCGGCACTCAGACCCTGGCACCCCAGCAGCAGCCACCAGCTCAGGCTTCCTCGCTTGGACAGCCACCCGCACCCTGGGCCAGTGTGACCCTGTGCCCCCGCCTCCCCAGGCCACTCCGCTGGGCCCTAGGCAGGAGGAGTGACCTCAGGCCCCTCCTCCCTGCACCGCAGAGCCAGCTCCTGGGCCAGCCTGACTCACCTGAGAAAACGGAAGCGAGCAGCACGATTTCTCCCCATTGCTGCCCCCATCCCGCCTGACGTCAGTCAGGGTGAGGGGCGCAGGGGGCGACTGAGGTCAGGATGGGGGAGGGGCACGGG